TGTCTTAGGCCGGCCTACCGCCCAATTCGAGCGCGTGGCGAGATGTGCGCATAGCAATATCGATCGCCGGGCGATCACATCTTGCCACGCGCTCGAATTGGGCGGTAGGCCGGTCTAAGACAACGATTTTTAATAATTAATTACTCGTTAACTATTACGAAAATTGCAAAATGGTACAGGACTTTTCCGTTCATCTCGATCCGTTCTACCTTCTCAAAAATTTTGTCGGATATGGAAAGACTCACCCTGTATATGTTGAACTTTTAATTCTATTATATAGTAGGATCTGTGAGACAGTAAAAGAGGTCGAACTGCAAATACAAAATTTACTCCTATTTTCAAACTGATAGTGTCGGAAATTTCTACTTTTGCCAATTTAGCATTAAAGGAGGTCCTTTTAAGTAGGAGCTAAAGTAAATTTTTAGAATTAAAGATTCAAGGGAGAAGTAAAAAAATATAATGTCATCAAAGTAGGTTGTTGCTGATCTATGTAGGTGTATAGATAAGCTAAGTAGGTGTAAATTATCCTTAAAAGTGTCAAAATAATACTAAAATTTCGACTCGGAAAACTAATGGAATAATTAAAAATGATTGAATCATATTAAATTATCATATTAAAAATCATACAGGGTGGTCTAGAAGTCCCGGAACGGTTGAATATCCCGAGAAATTGTGGGTGGATCGGAAAACGGAAAAATACGTATTTCCTATTTTTGAAAGAGCTATCGAATGATACCAAAATTGACCCCCACAGGGGTGGGGGTGGGGGGTCAATTTTGGTATCATTCGATAGCTCTTTCAAAAATAGGAAATACGTATTTTTCCGTTTTCCGATCCACCCACAATTTCTCGGGATATTCAACCGTTCCGGGACTTTTAGACCACCCTGTATATAAGTTACGTATTTAAACCTGGATTTATATTACGGATTATTTGTAACTTTAGGAAAGGGTTATAAAAATTAAAAGAGACGAGAAAAATATTTATTGCATTATGAAAATATATGCGGATAGAAATGAAGAATAAGTTGGAATTAGTCGACATTTATAGGCGCTAATTAAAAGCACATTTTGAATTTGCCGTTAACGTTTAATTAACATAACAAGATCGTAATATCGGGAAATAAACTTATTTCAGCGACATCACCGCGTCTTGAGAATGTCACATAAATTTTTAAGTATTCTCTTTTTCTCGTAGCGTTACCCGAAGATAGGACGGTGATATAGTTAAACTCATTACGATGAATGACAAGCTTCAGGAATTATCATACGAATACGTTTACATGATCGAGATGTAACAGTACTTAGAATTCCGATATAAACCAACGCAAGAACCGACGAAGGAAGCTCGTACTTATCGTACAATTATATTAATTAGCTCGACGCGTTCACTCGTGGACAAACTTGTCCGTTTTTTGCAGTCGCTATCGCGACTTTTCAGAGTCGAAAACCGGCGCGGCGTGACACGAGTACGAAACCGCTCGCTTATTTTCTAGTAGGCAGAAGTGGGAGCTCGAAACCTCTAGCCAGGGACCTGTTGCGGATGATTCTACGGATCGGAAACATGCCTGGACCCTCGAGAAGCACATTCCACAGAAAAGATCAAGGGGGGGGGGGATGAGGAAAGGGGCAGGAACCGAGATAGGGAAAAGGAAAACTTTTTTATTACGTCCGGGTCCTTTAACACGACCCAGTAATAAAGTACTATAGCGCGCGGCGTCGACAATAATTACTCGTATCGCAATAATCTATCGCGATAAGTGAAAAGCGATCTTAAGATAGAGCGAGACAAAAATAGATAATGTCTACTGCGTAACTGTTTGGGCGAGTGCAATTGTAGCGAGGACGGTAACGATAAGAGTAATTCTAGTTGCAATGGCAGGTAGTGGGAGTAATTTTCGCGATACCTGGGGAAACCATTAGGCGAAACAATGGAGGCGACGCTTATTAAAAATTGACGCAACTTTTCGCGCCTGTAACATGACGAGGCCTCGAAGGTAGATTGAAAAGGACCACGGAACGACGGTGAGAGTGAAATGGATGAGGACGCGAGACGAAGGAGGATCCAGATAAGTGGAGGCTGGAGCGGGGATGAAGGGGAGAGATGCGCCGGCACGCATTCCGACCGTTCAAAGGACCTTTCGGTCGGGATGGACCCCGGGTGCCCTTCGCGCCGCTCCCTCCGGAGGGCCGTATTGTCCGCGTCGGACCACTCGCGGCTGGCCGCACGAGGGGCCGGCGGGGAGGTGGGCAGAGATTGGGGGAGGTGGTATCGCGGGACCCCAGCAGGGCACCCAACTTAACCTCTGAGCAAACGGTCAAAACGCAACCAAAACGGAGTCCACTCACCTTGTAGCTTGTCCGTGTCGCGCTGCGCTCCGACGCGATGCTCGCCTCGTCATTCACCTCGTCACGACCGCGCGCGGGTGTCCTAGGGCACTGTCGTCACGATATCACCATAGTAAAATGTAACTATACGTCACGAGTGTCAAAACACCCGGGCGCCCTGCGCACCGCATCGTCCTGCGTTCGCGTTTGAAAAGCGATCCTCGGTGCAAGCGGCGACCTGCGAAATTCGCAGCGTAGATCCTGAACGCGACCCTCTCCGGATCACCGCGTCGCTCCTCTCTCCTATTTTGTCTAGGCTCGCCGTCGTCGTCACGAACGGACGTCTTTCGTACACGTGCGTGCTCCGATCGCCGCGGAGAAGACACGAAAAATGCGAGGCCGCGGGGACCGCGCGCTCCGCTCCGAAGCGGCAGATAAGTCTGGCGAACGCCGACCGTGCGATGCGTTGCCGTTTTGACCTGCCTGCAAACTGACCAATCGTCGCGCAGGTGGTGTCCCGCTGGTCCCCGCTAGTCCCTGCTGGTGGCAGGCGCAGGAGAAGGGACCCCAACCACCTGCCGCGCGACCTGCTGGGACCTGGGACAAGATCAAGCAGGCTCCGGGTCCGCTTCAACAATCGTCTGCCAACGCTGATTGGTTGTTGGTAACGTAGCATCCACGAGCGACGGGTGCTGGCAGCGTCCAACGTTAAGGGCTGGATGCTTACGCGTTAAAATAACACTAATTTGCATCTACACGTATGCAATGTAAACTGTTTAACTTGTCATGACAAAAGGTAATCCGTGGATCATCGAGAGTTCGCACTTTGTAAGAAATATTGGAGACGTTTGTAATTTTATTTTCAGTTATTATTGCTCAGTTGGCACAATTTTTAGCGCGCCACGAAAAATTAATCAGGCCAGCGCGAATAATGACACTTCTACATCAGTATCGCGTATCTTTTAACTGAAATGCATCTAATTTAATTTCACCTAGTCTAAAAGTATTTTTTACCAATTTTTAGAATTGGGAAAATACAGTTCGAGAAATCAATTGGGCTAGTCAGTTAACTTGGAATAATTTACATTGCTCATATTGTCCGCGTGAAAAAGGTTTGCACAAACGAAACGTGAACAATTCATTGTGGTCTTGAAATTTACGACACAACCCTACGTTCAACGTTCTGAAATATTACTATCGAGTAAATTGCTCCCCTCCCCCTCTCCCCACGCATACGCACAAGTTCATCCATCCAGAACCCAGCCATCTGCTGCGCGAGTCGCTGGGACTTAAAACCTGTAGTGAGGTTTGCTTGAACAACAGCTAGTCTATGCCGATTGGTCGTTGGTAACGTAGAACCACATCCCTGAACGACGGATGGTGGGTCATTCAACGTTCTGAAACATTATCGTTGAATGAACAGTGCCTCGGGTTCACGAAGACGGAGCGTTTACTGCTGAAATTAACGATGAGTTCCCTTCGTTGCCAATTGCTGGTAGACTCTCATATTAATAATTTATTATACGCCAATTACATGGCGCGTGTGATACGCACGAGGCAGGGTAGATGAGCTCCGGTTCTTATGGCTCGAAAATAAAAAGAATACGCCACACTTTTCGTGTTCGTCCAATTTAAATATGTCTCTTGTTTTCTTATCAATCACTCTTGAAGGAACGAAATGCAATTCTGTTATGCGTATCGATCTTAAGATCATGGGATACCATTATATTTTCGCGCATACAGGAACTGTATGTTATAATGTGAGCATTATAACATTTTCTTAACTTGGGAACGGCGTAATCCAGAAATGCTGTTCGCTTCACAAGCGCTCGTGTATAATAACGCTGCGTTAATTACATTCAGTAATAAACTCGTTCCCGTATCACGCGTCGCGATTGTCGCGATAAGGTCGGGAAAAAAACCGGCGTTTGCGTTTGCAGATCCTTATCGGCAATGAGATTCGATATATCGCACGGCGAGTCCGACGCGGAGAAAATATTACGAGGCGGGCCTCGCGCGCGGTGCCTCAAGGCTGACCCGGCGTAGGTACTTATTGTATCAAGTCTCGTTAACGGAGATGTTCATTCACTCGCATCGGCCAGATGACCAGTATGGCGCGCGTAGCTTACCGCCGCGTCTCGCCAATCTCGTGTCGCGCGGTAGGAAAACGGCCGGAAAGATCAACGGACCGCGTTGCTGATATGTGCCTCAAGTATCGGTCCTACATCATGGAAACGGAATCGATATGTCAGCTCGTTTGACGACGATGGCAGCGCTGGTCCGTCTTAAACGCGGTAGCGTCCAGCTGAGACACGCGGCACTCGAGGTCAAAGGTACGTGTGCCCTCAATCGACTTCCCTCGCCGACGGCTTTCCGGAATTATCAGTGCGTCGTTAACGCGGTAACGATTACGGAAGATAATTAATAAACGATCTGTCGAGTTAAAGGAAGCGAGTAATTTATCAATTATTCATATAAGTGTCCTGAATACGACGGCACTCGGTCAGATTCTTTAATTAATGTGGAATTAATTTTTGCACATTAAAGGGAAGGAAATTTTAGGACTGCGGTTACGCCCGGTTGTAAATTGGAGATCTGGTGTTTCTCCGCTTATATATTTCGAACGTTATTCACTCTCGGTGGCACATTTATTCATGCGCGACAAATGAATGTTAAGATCAAAATGAGTATTGAGATCACTTTCCCACTTCGGTTGATATTAGCGAGGGAATTAATTCGAACGTAACGCGTTCATTGTCTTGTCGAAAAGTCAGCTATTTGCGTTGCATCATCGCCGAGCCAAAGTCGAGGCCACCTGTAATATACTCGGAGTAGTGGAGAGATAGTGCGCGAAGAATCACCGGGCGTGATAAGAGCGAGATGCCGCGGTAGATCTCATTATTTTTGAGTTCTGTGAGATGGCAGACTTCGTCAAGAGAGGTAGCGTGCAGTTCGTTAAACGTGGCAGTTGTCAACTAAAGCTTGCTGCGCAAGAGGTTCGAGGTTCGTCAAAATTCTATATAATCGCTGCGACTAATTTTATTTTTCGCATCGCGCTCGCGAGATCTAATTTTATTTCGCGCTGTCGCGCGGCCAACCTTCAACTCGATACTATAGATTTGTCCTACTTTATTTAGAATAATAGACGGCGAGAATTTTCTCTTAAAATTTACCCTGAAAATCGTGGGACAACATGGCACTTCGAACAACTTCATGAGAGTTTTCTGAAAGCTGAAATATTAAAATGTAAAATTTCACAAAACTCTCATAAAATTCTTCGAAATGCCGTGTTGTCCCACGATTACATGATTTTCAGGATAAATTTTAAGGGAAAATTCTCTTCGTGTACGATTACAATTATTTTAACGAATTAACAAAGGAAGATTATTGATATTCATGCATTTTTGAGAGCTGCGTTTCGGCTAAATATTTGTCTGACGAGGTATGTAAAAATCTATAGTTAACACCATTGAAATGTTATAATTAACGTCGCGTGTATTTTGTGATGTATTTGTAATTTTAGCACAAATATTATTTTTACACGGCGATAACCGACACAAGTACCTTTTAAATTTAGAATTTGTACGCAGATACTATCGTGCCAGTCGTTTGAGTAAGTTATCAAAATCAAACATTGCTGTGCTCCGCCGTTTGGAGACTACGATAATGAATGTATGTACATACATATACGTACGCGCAAATTTCTTTTGTTACTATTGCACCTCTAATTCGCCGAGAATAATAGAAATTCCGTGAAAACTGCTAGTTTGCGGTCCAATTAGTAAGACACACGCCTGTTGGCTTTGTTTCATAATTCTTTATTTAAATAATTTCCGACGGTAAATAAGGATTATTTAATTTTCCTGATTTTTTTCTTGCCAACAACTCTCTCGGCGTCACTAAAATTTGTATGTCTTAAAACTTTCATTAACGACACGATTGTGATTTTTTACCGACAACTTGTAATAATCGACGCTCTTTATTCAACGATCTTTATTGACACATTATTGCCGCACATTTTTAACGACTTTCACTAGTAGTTTAATCGAGTTGATTATAACGTTATTATGACGTTATCACGTAATTATATTGTTATTTGTTAGCGGCTGTGCGAGCGCGACACATTGTCGCCGCGCTGGTTGCAGTTGGATTTGCGCTTTGCGGCGCGGTTGAAGTCAGCTCCTCCGTCGCACTGTTGGCGAATCAGAAAGACAATCATGCCATCATCGACACGTCTTGGCACTGCGATATGCTGGTCAATATCACCAGCCGCAATCGCACCGAGGACTTCGAAATTATATTCATGGAGGTATACATAGAGGACAGTCCTCCATTATGAGATAGGATCTTAATATGGGATAGCGGGGTTTCTGTTAAATTAATAGGCATCGTCAGTCGATTCCACCATGAATTTATTTCCCTTGGCGCGAAATCTGTTTAGTGGAAAACCCATTGTTAAATTGTGTAATCGTTGCGAAAGAAGATTTGCGATTGAATTTGGGTGTTAAAAACCTGCTGTCTAATATTAGAAACCTATCTCATAATAGAGGACTTTTCTCTATATCTAAACAGTTTGCCTCGTATTTCAATATTATATGTATATGACCCTCTTTGACTTGTCTAACAAATTTTCGTGTTCGCCGATACGAAAGTAAATTAAATGGGATCAACGCTAAATGCAATAGCTTTGATTCGCATTAATTCGAATTGTCGGGTGTTTTGTTGAAACAATTCTAAGAAGTGGAACTCTGAAGAACAGTGAGATGCCTTGCGATGCGAAGTTGCAGAACGACATTTATATTGTTATGAACGACAGCTGCCACAGGAGGAGCGAGCGGAATCGATTATGCGCGAGGCGTTCTTATGGGGACAAGTCGCCGGTCCGATCCTGGGAGGTTGCCTGGTGTGGGGCCGATCCGGGCCCTCCATGGTGTTCTCACGTGCGGTTCTTAGCGCCTGTTTAGCGTCTCTATTAGTACCTGCAGCCTGGCGGGGACCGTCGCACGTTGCGCTTCGGTTGTTTCAAGGATTATGCACCGTAAGTCGAGTCGGCGCGCGAGACTATCGCCGCCGCCGTCTTCGGACGCTTCGCAACGACGCGGGCTCGATTTTGCGTCGCGTCGTAAAACACGGCGCCGCATAAAACATTCGCGCGAGGATCATTGCAACATCCTCTTTTGCAGGGCGCAACCATGCCTGCTGCTCATATGTTCGCTATGACCTGGTTTAAGAGCAATCACAGAAGCTGGTACTTCAGTTGCTACGCAGGTATGTCGGCGATTGCGAGTACGGCCGTTTAAATGAAAAGCAGGGACTTAACGAGAGCGATAAATCCTTCGAGGCATCATTATTGTTTTGTAGTAAAAACGTACTCGATAGCATACTCTCTCCGCTAGACCTCTAGGATATCTCTTTTTAAGTATCCCATTGAGCGCTCTGAGAAGCTATGTGGTCCAAGTTGCTCGATTAATCCTAATTCCCATGCTTTAAGCCGTCAGCGTGGGTTATTGTCTCACTGGATGGCTGGGCACCGCGGTGGTGCGAACGTTCGGCCGCGATTCTCTGTGTTACGGTCTGGTTCTTTTGGCACTGTGCTGGTACTTTGCGTTCGGCCGTTTCGTTAAGGACACGCCGAAATCCTATCAACACGACACAACTGTAAGCGACACTTCCGAACTGTTTAGCGAGCACTCGCTACTCTCGGAAGTTTATCAACATGTAGTCGGACATCCTAATTAGTAGTCTGATAAGAGATTATACAGTTGAAGGCTTCTATGGAGTCTCCAGAAATTTTCCATTCGCTAATTAGTAGTTGCGACAAACCTGTCGTGCGACGGTAACATTGACTTAAGGCTTACCGCATGTACACTTAGCATGTGAGACTGTGTTTTTTTTTAATGTAAATACGAGAGACTAGTAATTATCACAGGCGGCTGTGATACCATGGGGAAAGCTGTTGAGATCCGTACCCGTCTGGGCGTCCGCAGTGGCGACGATGGGCAATCAATGGGGCGACGCGACGCTCGCGCTTGGCATGACGAAGTACCTGAAGCTCATCTATGGGTTTTCTACGGCCAATGTGAGTCGGTTAAAATTTGTTATTATTATTCTTAAACACCGTAAACACCGTGTCAAGGTATCAGAATGAACAGCAGGATACACGGAGAGAATTTTCTCTTAAAATTTACCTTGAAAATCGTGGGACAACACGGCATTTTGAACAAGTAGGGAGAGTTTTTTGAAAGTTTACCATACATTTTACTAGTAATTATACGCGGGGAAAATTTTCTTTAAAAATTTATTCCGAAAATATTGTAATTGCGGGATAACAGGGCATTTCAGAGAATTTTATGAGAGTTTTCTGAAAGTTTTCCATACTTTTTACTAGTAAATTTCAGGAAACTGTCATAAAATTCTTCGAAACGCCGTGTTGTCCCACGATTACATTTTCAGAATAAATTAAAAAAAAATGTTTCTGTGTATACGACGAAGAAAGGAAAGGGATAGCTTAATGTTACGACATAATGGTACAATATAATATTTAGTCAGGGATACAGTTCAACGCGACTGATCGATATTACGTGGACAGCTGCGAGATCGTATGTCTCACCTCGTTATTAAATTGTGATTCAATTCAGGACTCTGTGCTGACCACGTTACCTCACATCGGTCACTTCATGGCTGCGCTGACCTGCGGTCTCCTCGTAGATCACGTACGCGAGTCTAAAATAGTTTCCACGACCACGGCGAGAAAGTTGGTCGTCTATACAGGTGCGTTATGTGTATCTCCATAAACGGCATTATATCTACAGTACTGTGAAACGCGTGCAAGAATTTTGATCATTTTAATGTCTTGGTAGTTGAGTTAATTTATACAAGGAATATACATACAATTTTCGTTCTCCATTTGCCGAGTTTCTCCAATGAAAGCGTTTTGAATTACAAGAAAACGCGTAACGTAAAAGTCTGCGGGGAACTCAACAATATCATTACAGCCTAGTAAAGTATGCGATATCGGTGCGTTATAGATTACTCGTTTCACGCTGTGAGCTGAATTGATTATTGATGTTACCTCGGCCTCGTGGCAACAGCCACGAGATCTCATTACGATAATCGAAGATGAAAAATCGCAAACGCGTTGTGTAACACGTCAAAGGCTTTATCCTACGTAACACAACGAGAATATTTCCCCGACGTCTTTCGGACTTTCTTTCGTACCCTCGATAATATTGAATTGATACGATCAGCGCACTTCATCCCCGCGGCCCTCCTCTTCGTCGCCGGTTACGCCGGCTGCCAGGCCCTGGGTGCCGCCTGGCTGGGGATAGCAGCCCTCCTCGTTTCCGGTACCGCTCCGGCCGGTGCGCTCGCAGCCATAGCCGATCTCGCACCCGCGGAATCGCCGGCTTGCGCCGCGGCCGCGTGCGCTCTCTGCTCCACGCTGGGCGCCGCCGGACTGCTGGCTGCCAATTATTTCGTCACCCAGGCTCTTCATGGCTCCGTAAGTCGAATTACCACGCCGGACGCGGGCGCGCGGGCGTTATCCGCCCGCGCAAATGTAACGCATTAACTAGCTCCGTACGTCCGCGAACGGACGTCGGATTGCGTAATGAGAATTTAGCGACGAGTCTTTCCTTTTACTTTCTAAGTTTCGCACAAGTTGCTTTTCGTCGTTGCTTTTCCGCCCAAGTAATTATTATTTTGCACCTTACTTATCGGTTTCAAATAAGGCGCAACATTCAGCGTCTTGAATTCTAAAAGAAAAGAAGAGTGTCGAAGTCTCTTTTTATTTCTCTTTTCCAAATTTCTTCGCGTGCGAACAATTTTTTAACTTTACCATAAATGTTGGAACACACGTAATTTCACTTCTATATTCCTTAATTGAAATTTTGGGAATCGAGATTGCGTATCAAATTTCGTGCAACACATAATGTCCCCGGCGAGGGGGAAACCGCTGAGGGCATTGTGGTGTACAGATTTGCGGCATTACTGGGCCTTGCTGGGGCATTAGAAAGATAAAATAAGATAAAACAAGATAAATAAGAAAAAATAAGATAATAAGACAAAGTAATGCCCGCTGGGCATTAATGGGCATTGGTGTACCAGATTTTGGTCAGCGGTTTTCCCCTTACTATTAATTGTACAATCCACTTTTGTTCGTAGAATACGTTGGCCGTGACTTTGAATATTTATTATTACTCAAAAACGAGCGTGACTATTTCTTTAAAAAGTTTTTTTTTATTTATTTTCTAATCCTACACTGAAAAAAATTTCTGGTTGAATATGGACGAATCAGATAATTCCTTTAGGATTTACCAGAATTCCTGTAATCCTACAGAAATTCTGGTAAATCCTAAAGGAATTCTGGTAAATCCTAAAGGAATTATCTGATTCGTCCATATTCAACCAGAAATTTTTTTCAGTGTACGTTCGTCCAATTCGCGTTCGCGACAATGTCGTCCGTTTCAGATCGCTGGCTCTTGGCGGCTGGTGTTCGGCGTTGCCTCTGTCGTCCTGCTTACGACCGCTGCGGTTTTTCTGGCGCTCGGCAAAGGCGTTCCGCAACCGTGGATCGCGTCCGTGCCGAGACCGCGTAGTCACGACGTAATCTACGAGCAGGACGCGCTAGAGCTCGATCATGAGGACGTGGGCGTGCAGACCGAGCCCTTCGTGCCCTACGCGCTCGAGGACGACATCGAGAGCCTGAAGAACGTGCCACGCTCCTCGTCCATTCACTCGAAGATCTCGGTGGCCTCCAATTGAATTACGACCGCCCTCGTGCCGATTTTGTGCGCTATATTCATGCCTCATCTCGCCAAGGATATTTTATCCCCTCCCTCCTTCCATTCCCAGATTATAGCAATAGAAAAAGAAACGATGTACAGTAAACGTATCGCAAAGACATGTACGATTAACACGATGGATGTATATAAGGTTTTAAGAATAGGAATAAAAGTTTGTACGATCAAGACTTTTTCTCGAAGAACATTAGAATGAAAAATGTTAAGGAACATCTAGCTCTCTTTCATCGGGATTTGCTTCTTCTCTTGTAGGAAATAATGTCGCTATTACGATTTGCCGTTGAATTTCACAATTAAAATTCGAACACTGGGGCTGCTCGAGATAAAATCGAGTTGCGAAACAATGCCGTGAATAATAACAAGTAGATCCGCCGACTGATATAATTCGACTCGTAGAAAGTCGGTAGCTGATAAAAATGTCGACGCGCGCTGGAAATTCGAGGAACATGACAGGACAAATGTCAGATGAGCGTCGCTTTGTCTCGCGTTACTCGCTTTCGACTATTGTTGAGGCGGCTTCGCCTCATCGGGACACCGCGCCGCGATTCTCTCCGCTCGCGTTATTTCCTAGCTCGTTGCATACAAATCTATGCATTACGCGCGTTTCTGCGAGACACCGTGTGCCCTCCGCGACTTTCTACCTGCGGAGAAAGAGTGAGAGACAGGCCGGCGCGGCCGACGCGACGACGCTCTAATTAGATAATCTTACGGGAGGCCCCGTATGTCCTTATCGGTGCCGCATGCTCCCATATCGCGAAAATGCACCTACGCCATTGTAGCTGACGCATACACGGAATACCGGAAGCATGTGCAAGACCGCTGCCCGCGCTGGTGAGTGTCCCTGCGTCCTAACGACAGCCTTTCAAATGCAGGCGTGCATATCCGGCGCGGGCGCGGAAAAATCAGGACACTCTTTAGAGTGCCTGGCGGAAAATGGCCTGCCGTTCGCCGTGAATCGAACTATCCCGCACGCTACTTTCCGCCTTCGGAATCTCGCTCGATCGACATTCTCGAGCAGAACGTTGTGAATGTCAGCATGGCGTTTACCCATTCGTATGTGCCCAACTTGTCGATAATTGACACGCTTTTGTGCTTTATATAAACAAAGCTCGGGGAGTCTTGGAATAGGCTGTTTAGCCTTCTCGTCCGCAAATGCAATGTCAATATAATTACTCGCAGCCAATCATCAGCGGACAATCAGCAACGGCTGATCCAAGTCAATTACTTTAATTGACCTTGTCGGTCGCGTTGGTAGGATGTGAATTATTGATTCGCTAGGCGAAGTGAATTACTTGAATCCCTCTCGTCCGGCGAATCGATAATTCACGTGCCATTAATGAGTTCGTTCCCGTTTATGGTTTTAACATCCAATTCGCCTTTTGCCGTGTCGCCACTTGTGCAAATCGACCGTTCACCGCGCGGCGATTGTTCCGCTTCTCACGTGCCGTTCGGATACACGCGTGAGATATTCGCGTCGTGTGTCGCGCGTAACGCGTTTTTTTTTCCTTTTTTCGACAAAGAAATTCGCTCGCAAGACAACAGGCGGGCTCTCCAAATGCGCGGAAATCACGCGCGAGATCTCATGATCTACGCCCTCGGCCGCATATTCGCGCGTAAGACCCGACCAGGCAGGAATGTCGCAATGCGCGACGCTAATTACCGGCAGTAGACGCGTTACTATTCTTTCCCGGTAACGCCGACTCTCAGGGACTTATGAAATGAGTTCTCACACAACGCCTTGGCGTCTACCGTCCGACTCTTTCTTTATTTCGATGCGTATATATCACACTAGTCTCTTACGTAACGCCGTATTTACAGTCGTAAGCAGGGAGTACGCTAGAGATGCCTTAGGATCTAGAGCTTTCGCCGGTGCTGTTCGTCGCTTTTAACGGGGGGGGGGGGAGATCTCGTAAGATTTCTTTCGAGTAATCGCTCAGAGTAGATGCATCAGTGATCGATCGCTCATCAATAACTGCCGAATGTTTCCAAGGGATCGCGTTAAGGAAGATGTATGTATTTTTTAATGCCACGAATTTAATTGCAGTTATCGTCATGTAATTAGCGTGTAATTGTAAATTAAAGCTGTTATCAAGTGAAATGTTATTCGCCGATTTCGTTGTTTCAACATTCTTCCCTCATTGTTAATTCTAAACGACAAGACGATTTCGACGTAAATCCTGGCGGCGTGAGAAAAATTGCATGCGATACCCGGCAGATAAGTGTATGAGAAAATAATATCTTTACTTAAGAAAGAAATTTAATTACCTAACAATATTTCTTGGTCGGTCATACACTGATGCACCTACGCTAGCGCATGTAAATATGCGCGTCAACAAGCGCTGGGAAGCTATCGTGCAGAAAATCGGTCGGGCTGCGCAGCAACGATTTCCCTTTCGCGAAACCGATTCGATTCATTAACGACGAATGCGTCCGTTGCGTGCGAGACATTGGTTCTTACACGCTGGATGGACATATCCGTTCAGTACGAAAAAAAAGGTTACCGTTGACGTAATCCGCTTCGTCATGTTTAAATATCGCTATCGTGAGAATTCGACATTCGTTACAGGACAATTAATAATGGTAGAAATGACGTATCTCTAAAAATATATTGCTGAGAGCAAAATTAACTTCCGCCGAGTTTCTCTCGTCTTGTAAAAAAAGAGAGGAAACCGTAACAATTAGTTAAAATTCTACAATAATTTAACTCACATATTATACGTGAAATGAGTAATACTTCTTCGTAATTCCTAACTACTTCTAACTCCAGTCGTCGTCGTCGTTACATCTTCTTCCTCAAGTCCTTGTCTTCCTCGTCGTCGTCCGTAATAATCTGCACGCTCCTAACCGGACCGGTCTTTCTGTATCTCGACGCCGGCGTCGTGGTAATCGGGACCATCGTCGAGCGTTCGGTGTTGATCGCCAGATTCACCATTCGCAGCAGCAGGGCTTCCCTGATGGTCGCCGGCAGAATCTCATCGCCCTCGTCGGCTACGTCCTGCGTGTAGAATTTCTGCCTGTATACTCTCTTGGGATATCTGTCGTGATAATCGTCATACTGAGGGTGATAAAGCGGGCTCAGTGCTCGGGGGTACACTGGACGTCTCAGGGGCACTCGGTCGCCGTACTGCGCCTGTTGATCGTACGCGAGTTCGGGTCTCGGAAGTGGCGCCTGGTAGCCCGCCGGATACGAAGGATACGGCTGCTGATCGTACAAGGCATCTTCGAGGAAGCTCTTTGGATATGACAGGGCTTGCACGCCATACTGGCTGACCAGCAGTCTCCTCAGCAATACCTGAAAGTCTCGTCGGCTCAGAGGCGGCGCGATCGGATTTGGTGGCTCCGGAGGTAGTGCCAGTGCGCCAGCCCGGAAAGGATACTCGGGCGTGGTTGCTTGATAGTCCCTCTCGTCAGGGTGAGTTACCGTACTCGGAATCGGCCGCAAGACCGGACGTGCTCTCTGCTCGGGTTCCGGGTAGATCAGCGGCCGCACGGGACGCGAACGCATATAATTCATATTCATTGCGATCCGCGCCTCATCCTCGGGATCGGGCACGGGGTTCTCCGTCAGGTAGTGAACATTGGCGTCCGTCGTGGTCGAGTAGACCGGCTGGTGATTCGACGGGGGCCGTAGCAAGAGCCTGCCGATCGGTATCCCTCTGAAGACGCCTCCGTCCTCCTCGAGATTGCCCTGTTGAGACTGGACGAGTATTCTAGACGGCAGATACTGCTCGGGCTGCTGTCTCAGGAAGACAGGCTCGGTGGACTGTCTGACATAGTCCCGGGTCTCCGTCGGTATCCTGGCGGTAGAAGTGCGAAGCAGGATCTGTTGGGTCGACGTGCGCTCTTCCTGGGTGGGTTTCGTGTCCGTCTCGTAGATCCGTGAATCTTCGTACTTCGGATTGTCAAATCGACCACCCGCTCCCAAGTTCTCTTGACGATTAACGTAGAACTTTGGCCGCTCTGTGCGCGGAGTACTGGAAACTCTCTGGAGAACCCGCGATGGAGCCGTCGTGGTGAACAGAGGACGCGTCGTGGACAGGGAACCACCGTAAACGTCGGAATGATCATCGCTGTCATCGGTGATGGAACTCGACTTGGTTGTCTCGTCGTGCAATTGTCTCCTCAAAGTATTCCCCGTCGTAATTTTCGCGTCATCCTCCTTCTCCACGAAGTCTTCGGAGATCGGCGGGAGACTGTGTTCGATCGGCCGTTTAGCAAAGATGATTCTTCGATAGGCGCCGCTCTTGTCATCCGTACTGGGACGATTGATCTGCGAATCTTCGTCTTCGGGGCCTTCCTCTATGACGATCGGCCTCTGTTGGCCATTTATGACGAAACGCGGCCTGCTCTTCGGTGTGCCTTTTAAGTAGTGTCCGAATATCGTTTTCGGCGCCTCTGTAGTAGTGGTGCTTGTGGTCGTCGTGGTGGTACCTGTAGTAGTAGTCTTCCTCGTTCGAGGAATCGACTGCACCACTGACGCCCTGGTCGGCGATTCCGTCGTCGTGGCGTACACGATGTTCGGTTTTCTCGTGGTTGACGTACGATTGATACGCGGTATACTTTGCACGACCGATACGTGTTCCTGCAATGGCGACATGGTCGTTGCTTTAAAACCCGTCCCGTTCGACGAGGAGTACGAGACCCTCTTTATCTCGCCGTCGGCGTCGACGAAACCGAACGTGCCTTTAATGTTGCCCAAAACATCGCGACTCTCGACCTGACAAAAGCAAGCATTTTCCCTTCAGTTCTTCGCAAAAGTGACGTGATTCGAACGATAACTCTCTTGGACGAATAAGTAAATCTTTCTTATATAAAAAATGAAAAATGTACGTAAATCATATTACATTTATGAAATAACTTAATTTATGTATGTTATATAGAAAAAAGTCCTCTATTATCAGATAGAGTTTTAATATGAGACAGCAGGTTTTCACCACCCAAATTCAATCACAAGTCTTTTTTCGCAACGATTACATAATCTAACAATAAATTTTCCCTCCAAGGGCAATAAATGGCGCAATCAACTGAGAAACCCCGCTATCCCGTATTAGGGAATTTTCCTCTATAGGTGCATATCTGTATTTTATTTTACTGGTAATGACATATTAAAAAGTATTTCCAGTGTTGAATGAGATCGTTTAAACGATCCAGTATTATTCGCTTAATTTATTCATTGAATTTAAATAACATTGAAAATTTCACAATTACAGATAAAAGCGCGAATAAGATTATACATCAGATCTATGTACACAAATTTATAAACATGGCAGACGATTGGGGTCTTGTATTCAAGTTGCTATTAATACGATACGATTTAAATATAATCAGAAATGAAAAGAATTCTTCCGGCTAATTAATATCCGATACTGTGGGAACTTCTTGTGCGATGCAATTTACGATCTTGGAAAAAAAGGCGATAGGCGCGGTTACATTACGCCGTGCTTAAGTTGTTACGCACATAATTACCTTGAATGATCCATCGCCGGCTTCATATCCGTACGTGTAAGAGCCGTCTTCGTTCACCTTTCTGATTTGCTTCAAGATCGCCACTTGGTGATCATGATGCGTTTCCGATGTTTGCTGGTCCGTGACGTTCGAGCAGCCAGCGGTCGCCAGGCAGAAGAATGCCATCAGCCATGGCGTCATCTTAAAAGGAAAGACGATTTTTCTCTATGAGGAAGAACGCAGTAATGCGAGATAGATATGACGCACGACGGCGTATTACTAATATCGCGAGAAGATAGTGCGAAAAGTGTAATAAATCGTCGGCTAGGCGAATTCTGAGACGACCAGCTGATATTTCCGCGCGATAGAAATTGCGTGCTTTCAATTTGCTCGACGATTACATATTCAAAATGAAATACTTTCGTAATACGTGTTCACGTTCACATAATGATGCACTTGTCACTCTACGGCATTTCGCGTCCTAAAGCGTTTTCTCGGAATAAATCTTGAGGACGTATGGGCGAAACATCGCGTGCAACCGTTCGCCAAGGCGTGCACTTTCCCACGGGCACCAGTATCGGTTTCGCGAAAAAAAAAATCGCCGTAACGTTTAGACCGAACACTTGCATTTAGATTGATAGCGACTGAAATCGATCTCGCTCTTTATCTCTCTCTCTCTTTCTCTCCCTCTTTATCTCGCTTGCGCGGATCGCGGACACCATGAACACGTACTCGCGCACTCGCGCCAGCTCGGAATACTCGGCGATATACCTTGTTGGAACTGGAAACCATGTTACCGCGGATGCGGTGAATGTTCTTAATACGGCGTGGGGTGTCGGGTGCCGTTATATATAGGGTGACACAATAGGCAACCACCGCCGCGCCCCTTCCACGGCGCACCGCGTCGCGCCGCCACGTTCAACCTTGATGACCCCTAAACATTCATTAAGACGCTGGAGTACCAAATGATAGCTCTCCTTGTTAGTAAAAACGCGAGGCGTCGCGCACGCCGCAACGACGCGACGCTTCGGCAGAAAATACACGGTAGTGAAGGTCCGTGGTTGCATTTGCTCATCTCGATTACGCGTTATTTCGTTACGCGAAATTGCTCAAGACGTGATTATTCTAATGACTCGAAGACCGGAATAGTCTCCGGATGATTGACTGCCGCGCGAAGTGGAAAAAGCAGCTGCTTTTTTCTTCTTCGTTAAGCAAATTAATTCGATTAACGTTTGAGTTTTGCATCCCGCTCGAGTTGTCCTGATTTTGTGAGATGGACGCTATTCCTTTCTTTAATTAAAGATATATACGAGTTATGGATTCCATATCGACATAATCTTACAAGTTATATAGAACTAAATACATTAAAAGATAATTAAATAAATACATCTTATTTATTATACAACGTCAGTGTTTTCTTACCATACCTGACATTTTTAATAATACAGAAAATTTCTTACCTCAGCCAGAGTTTGAACCTGGACCTCCCTATACTCCTAGAGACGCCCGCCTAGAGTGTAGGGTGGTGTAGGTTCAAACCCTGGCCGAGGTATTGTTTTTCGCAATAAATTTTCTGTATTATTAAAAATGCCAGGTATGGTAAAAAAAACCACTGACGTTGTTAATTACCGGCGACATTGAGGAATATTCTGATTACATCTTATTTAGTTAAATAATTTTAGGCCTTAGACCTAAGAGACTGTTGAAAGTCTGAAAAAATATCGCATAGTTCGCGAGGCTCCGAAGAAAGTGCATCGATAATGGCGACGTGAGGGAGCGGAAACGTTTACCGTGGAGGGAATGAGCGCGATGTCCCGACAGAATGGAACATACGAAGAAGTTTGGCTTCGCGGGGACAAGTGAAAGCCACGTGGGAGTTGACGGCCGGGCAAGAAGCACACAGTAGTAGACTGTAAAATCTGTAACAATAGTTCCCATAGTGTGCAACACCGGTATTGTGGTATTCGCTCCACTCTAGGCACTCCCACAGGACAATTATTACATCATGCAATTTCCTCCGGGTTTCGTATTCACTTTTTTGATGCCACCTTGATATGCCTCGCGTTCGTGGACGTATCGGCTGTCTATCTCGCCGCGCGTCGCACGTTTCCTCCGCGGAGGATCATTGTCTCTCGTGGGGCTCCTGCCGCGGGGCCCGCGAACGCAAACGCGCGGATCGGCAAACCTATTGAAATCTAAATAATTAAAATATGCAGGATATCCGGGAAAAGTGTACGGGGTGCATCGGGGAGATACTAATATACTTTCTCTTGCTTACTAAACTGCCCGACAAACGCGGGCACAATCCACTCTTAATATTTCTGCGCTTTTTGTGAATATAAAATTATACGGCTGCTAGAAATGACTTTATCAATTGACAATCGTTCGTAATGTTGTCGGGTTTCATAATGCAAATTAAATTTCTATCGGAGGAAAATTTGCTTGAAATTGAATGAAAAATTAGATCTTGTTATCTGTTTACGCTCTTGAAGCTTAATTCACCAAAACACTGT